TTTTATTTTTTAATATATTTTATTGATTTTAGAGAGGAAAGGAGTAGGAGAGAGAAACATCAGTGATGAGAGAGAATCATCGATTGGCTGCCTCCTGCATGCTCCCCACTGAGGATCAAGCCCACAACCCAGGCATGTGCCCTTGGCTGGAATCAAACCCGGGATCCCTCAGTCCGCAGGCCGACACTCTATCCATTGAGCCAAACCAGCCAGGGCCGATTCCTCTAATTTTAAAACCTATGTTCTTAGCCAGTCACGGCCTGGCACATATATCTTCACAGCAGATTCTTTTAAAATCTCACTTGTTTATATGCAAGTAATATGTGAGTACATGTAAAATAAAAATTTTACAGAGAGTTAGTCATCCTTAGCTACCCCCCACACCATCCCAGTCTCCTTTGGATTAATTTGAAAATAGCTTTCCAGACATATTTTTCTATGCATTTATTTACATATATTTGTACAAACAGAAATATGTACTATTGTCATTGGGACTTTTTGAAAAATATATACAGGAGAACCTAATTATCTTTTTAAAGTCACAAATTACTGCCTCAAGTTCATTTACTTGTGTTGATTGATTAATATGTATATTTCCATGTTGTGTAACAGTCAGGACTCTTTCCAGTGAAACTCAGTTAAAACCAGCTTAAGCAATAAAAGCAACTTACTGGCTCATATAACTGAAAAGTCTTGGGCTACAGCTGACTTCAGGCCCTGCTGGATTCAGATAGTCAAGTGATGTTCCATACCAGGAATCTGACTCTCTTTTCTTCTCTGTTTTTCTGTGTGTTGGCTTCATTTTCAGACAATCTTACCTTCATATGTTTGTAAAAATGGACCCAGTAGTCCCAGCCTATGTTCTACTGGCATATCAGTCCATTGGGAAAGAGCTTTCCCAAATAGATCCAGCAATAATATTTGGAAATTCTCTGATTTAGTTAGGAATGTGTTTGGTTATAAGTAATAGAAAATCTTGTTTACAGTGGTTCAAAGAAATAGTTCATTTTTTTCCTCATCAAGTCCAGAGGTAGACAGTCTAAAACTGATATAGCAGCTCAATTATGTCATCAAGGATCTAGTTTTTTTTCTTTCTTTCTCCTCTGCCGTCTTTAGAATGTTGACTTCATACTCTCACTTACCGCCTCAGGGTCACAAAATAGCTGTAGCGCATCCAGAAATTATACCCTCTTTTATTTTTTTTTTAATATATTGTATTGATTTTTTTACAGAGAGGAAGGAAGAGGGATAGAGAGTTAGAAACATCGATGAGAGAGAAACATCGATCAGCTGCCTCCTGCACACCCCCTACTGGGGATGTGCCCGCAACCAAGGTACATGCCCTTGACCGGAATCGAACCTGGGACCCTTCAGTCCGCAGGCCGACGCTCTATCCACTGAGCCAAACCGGTTACGGCCATATCCTCTTTTAAAACAAGAAAAATGAAAGAGGGAGCACTAGCCATCTCTGTCCTTTTTGTCAGGAAAGCAAAGTTTCCAAGAAGCCTGCCTAACAAACTTTTGCTTATATGTCATTTTCCAGAACTGTGTGATATGTGCCCTCCCAGATGCAAGACAGGCTTTAAAAATGAGAATTTTCTATCTCATAAAATGAAGGTAAATAAGGGAGAAGAGGATTGGGGTATGTGTTGGATTAGCCATTCCATGTCCCTTGCATTTTTTATTTTTTAGACCATGTGCCCATCCTGAAGCCAGTCGTGATGCTCAGGGAAATATGTCATTTGATTGTCCAGGCTTGGGTCACGTGCCATCCTTGGAGTTGGGAGATTGAAATCCAGGCCAGTCAAACCACTTGAGTGAGAAAAGAATGGTCCCTGAAGGTCAGGGAATGCTGAGTAGACAAAAACACTGCACAGTGTTGTGTGTTTTGTTTTTGTTTTTTAAATACATTTTTTTAAATTGATTTCAGAGAGGAAGGGAGAGGGAGATAGAAACATCAATGAGAGAATCATTGATCGGCTGCCTCATGCACGCCCTCTACTGGGGATCGAGCCTGGAACTGAGGTTTGTGCCCTTGACCGAAACTGAACCCGGGACCCTTCAGTCTCAAGCCCCCCCTCTATCCACTGAGCCAGACCAGTAGGGCTGTACAGTGTTTTTTATTTATTGTCACTTTTATACAACTCAGAATCTTAGCTGCCACAGCCTACATCATTATCTATTAAGGTAGATAGTTGTTGAGGCACTGACCTGTGGGTAGAATTGAAAAGTCTAATTTAGTCCTTTTGTTCGTCTCTAATAAGGTTTTCATTTTTCCTCAGATTGTTCCCAGCTAATTGTGTCAGGCGTAGATATATTTTCACTGAAGTTAAAATAATCCTGTCTTATCTTACATTTGATAGAATCAGAGTATGTTAGAGAGTTCATTCAGTTCAAACTTACTATTTTTCAGGTGGGAGTTTCTTTTATAAAACCCCCAAGCGCTTACTGCCATGCACTTCACATTGTGCATCCTCGGTTAACATTGCCGACTGACGGTAACAGCTTCTTTGCTGCCAGGTGAAAACTGACAGGACATCTAACAGACGCACACAGCCGTGCTGACTTGACTCCGGGGACCAGCTCTCTGCAGTTGGCTCATGATGACTGTGGTATATCCATTTAGGGCCTCTCACCCAGTTCCAGAAGCTCATCCTTGCTTCATTTCACTGACAATTAATCACAGTCATTAATAGAGCACTTTTTATAACCCTTCCTGTCCTCACTCGCTGGCACCCACTCACTCCTGCATTGCTAAGTGACTTATAAACTTGCAAAACAAACAGAAAATGGACTGGTATATTTTAAAAGGGGAGGAAAGTGATCAGTATAAATGTTAGGGGAATTAGCAGAAACTTTTTTCCCAATGAGATATTTAGGGTATATTTTTAAGCATTCTATTTTTTCTCTTATTCAAGTAATTCCAGTACTTGATGAGAAATATAAACTTGTTCTGGTTCTATAACATGGGCCAAATTGGTTTCAACCATAATGGCTGGTGAACTGGAGGGAGGGAAATTGAATTAGAAATGCAGCATCTCATCCTCCTGGTGTGGCTCAATTGGTTGAGCAAGGTGACTGGTTCGATTCCTGGTCAGGGCACACGCCCAGGTTGCAGGTTCAATCCCTAATTGGGGTGCATAAAGAAGGCAACTGATCAATGTTTCTCACATCGATGTTTTTCTCTCTCTTTCCTCCTCCCTTCCTCTCTCTCTAAAATCAATAAAAACATATTCTTTAAGAAAAAAAAATGCAGCATCTCTAAAATTATATTTTTTCTGTGGAGCCAGTGCTGAGAGCTAAATTATTAGTGTTTTTCTTACTGGAGAAGTATTGGAATGACTGAACTGACTGTTCTTTCTCTCTGTGCCTCTTTTTTTAGTGATCAGAGTGGATCTGTCTTTTTTTTTTTTTTAATATATTTTATTGACTTCAGGAAGGGGGAGAGAGAGAGAGAGAGAGAGAGAGAGAGAAACATCAATGATGAGAGAGAACCATTGATCGGCTGCCTCCTGCATGCCACACACTAGGGATCAAGTCCGCAACCTAGGCATGTGACCTGGCCGGGAATCGAACCATGACCTCCTGGTTCATAGGTCGACACTCAACCACTGAACCACGCTGGCCGGGCTCTGTTCTTCTTTTCAACATGCATATAAACCCAGAAAAGTAGAAGGCAGCATAATATGACTGTTCTAGGCTAAAATTAAACTTAGCCTTATTTTTAGTGTATTTGTTGGGATGTAGTTTTATGAAGAAAGGTACAATTTGGGGTGTGAGGGTTGTTTAAATTTCAGGTAAACTTAACATCTTCTCATTGGCTGTTCATAAACTCCCTGTCTCATATCCAGGCATCCTCAAGTCTTATCAATTTTGCCTTCTAATTTCTTCTCTATCCTCCATTCAGTGGCTTCTGGAACTAATTGGTTATGTTTTCCTTGCCCACCAGAGAGATGTTACTCATCTTAGTTGCCCTAACACCTAGCCCAGGACCTGGGATTTGGTGAACATTAGATGATGTGCTGGTGCAGTCTAATAGATGAGAAAGCCAAGGTCCAGTGACTTAACCCACGTCTAGTGATAGCAGAGTTAGAATTAGAGCCCAGTATTCCCTTCCCTGAGCTATGACATACCTCCTCCACAAAACTAGCATGAGGTGCAGATGCACTTGGGGAGTGGAGAGGAAAGAGTTGCTCATGGTGAGATAGCAGAGTCAGTAAGAATTGGCTGGAATCTGGCTGCCAACTTGCACAAGCCAGTGAAGAAGAGGACAGCTATTCACTGTCAAAACCAAGAATCCACATCTTTTAAGGATATCAATTTACTTAATTTCACACAATAAAAAAAATTATTAGGGAAAAATACATATAAATTAAGTTGTAAGTTAAAGCTCTTCCTTAACACTCTCCACACTACCCCCCTTATCTTGACTAATACAAATAATTTCAGAGCTACATAGACCTACATAATTTTTAACAAAAAATACTTCTCTACCTGCAAACATGGAAATGCACCAAGGGATAATAAATTGGTCTGCAAATATGTGAATATCAACTATCTCTAGGTTCTGTGTACTTAATACTTGTTATCTGTGGTAGTCCTGTCGAGTCTCACACGAAAGTAAACTGAAGAGATCCTTTAGTCCAACCTTCTCGTTTAATACTTAAGAATACTGAGATTCAGACATGTTGATTTATCTAATTTGTCAGTGAACTAGAACCCCAATCTCATCTTACTGTATACCCATCTCATCTTATTGCTATGACTCCTTGATCCTGAAGAAAACTTCTGTAAGTTGAATAATTACCTCCTGATGGTTCCAGGGTGTCTTATTCTTGTTGGATTTTCCTGTGTGGCTTTGTTGGAAGGAGATAGATATGTAAGTCTTGTAACAAGATTCTGAAGCTGTGATTGAGATCCGACGAGACCTTTTAATGTTATTTGTGTGACAGAAAGAGCAGAGATGCTCTGTCCCCAGCTCTCCAAGCTGTGAAATAGCTTTATAAGCTCTGTGGCTTTTCAGGTCCTAAAAGCCAGCTCCCTGCATCAATACAAGAAGGCTAGATCTTGACAACAGGACATGCATGCCACTTACAAAAGACAATTATTGAATGAGAAGTCAGGTGGTAAAGGCAAAATAGTAGGTGGACCCAGTGCAAACAATGTCATACGTTCTGAGAAAATTCTTTTTACATCTCCTTTAGGACTAGTGTTTTAGCAGCTTTATGGTAATGTTGCCATAAGACATAGTTCACATGCTTCCTTTTTGCACAGTTTACATGCTTAAGTTTGCATGTGGCCAAGGTATTAAATCCTTTTTCTCTCACTTCTAGGCATGTTTGTTCTTCTCTTCCTGCTAAAGCATTTACAGTATAAGGCTAATACTAAAGCATTTACAGTATAAGGCTAACAGGAGCTCCATAGTACAGGGTTAGCTTTCATTTTCCTAGGCTCCTTTGTGCTCTAACCTCCAATGGGTAATCATGCAATACAAAATATGCTACTGGGAGTCAATGATAGTTGTTTTTGAGACTAGTTATGGGGGAATACTCCTTCTCTTTGAGTTATTACTTATGTGCACACATTTTTTGAGCTGGGTACTTACCTTGCCATAAATCAGCTATACTGCGTATCTACTTACACTCCTTTACATATTTGAATTCTTTATTTTTTCACAGCCATCTCTTCCTGTACTTTATACCCTGTCTAGTCAGGCTACACATGAAGCTGTTCATCTCCTTTGCAGGATGTTGGTCTTTGATCCAGTAAGTAGTTTTTGTTTTTATACTTTGTAATGAATTAAAAATACATGTGTTCTAAGAAAAACATCAAGAGCTGGACAATGTAAATAATGACTTTGCAAAAGATAAACTTCAGTCCTCAGTTTCATGTGTATCATGCTCACTCATCATACAGAAGTTTGATTATTAACCCCTAAGAGCTGAGGGGGAAGGGAGATGAAAAACTGTACCAGCTTTATTTCTCTCAATTTGTAAAAGGAGTTTGGCACCAACTTAAATCAGGAGGAAAAAGATTTTAACATAGTTTGAAAAAAAATCTCTCCGTTATATTGTATAAGGAGTTGTTGGAATGGTAGCTTTTCCAGATGCGGCACCAACTTAAATCAGGAGGAAAAAGATTTTAACATGGTTTGAAAAAAATCTGTCTGTTATATTGTATAAGGAGTTGTTGGGATGGTAGCTTTTCCAGATGCCATTTTTTTTAAATATATTTTATTGATTTTTTTACAGAGAGGAAGGGAGAGGGATAGAGTTAGAAACATCGATGAGAGAGAAACATCGATCAGCCGCCTCCTGCACACTCCCCACTGGGGATGTGCCCGCAACCAAGGTACATGCCCTTGACCGGAACTGAACCTGGGACCCTTGAGTCCGAAGGCCGATGCTTTATCCACTGAGCCAAACCAGTTAGGGCCAGATGCCATTTTTGGACTTGACTCTTTTGGAACAAAAGTTAGCTCTTCATTTATTCATTCATCCAAAGAATATTATTCATATCTGTACCAATAACTGTTGTTAAAGAAGACTCAAAAATGGAAGCATTTAGAAAAGAAAATTTTACTTGCTAAGAGTACAAGAAAGTCACCAAATACAAAAAAACAGCAGGTATTTAAAGGGGGGGATGCCCACAGAATTAACAGTTTCTACGTTTACATTAGTCTGTTTGTGATGAGAAAACAGCAGCTGTCTCACATGAGGATCAAATCCACAAAGGCCAGAGCTGTCTTGAGACATCAGCATAACAAAGATTAGGGATAAAAATGTTTTGTTAGAGTCCAGGTTTGTGAGAAACAGTCAAGGTTTTATTATTTGGGGACCAGAACCAATCAGTGACCAAGTTATTTTTGTTACATCTCAGGGTGCATAGTGGATTTTTATTTGTTTGGTGTTTGTTTGTTTGTTAGTTTTCCTTTTCTTTGTTTACTTTATTACTTTGTGAGGTACTTAGTAATACGGAAGCAGGACAAAGTGGCCGTTCTCAATTCCACAGTCCCTCCTTGTGGTCAAGTTCCTGCCATTAAGGACCATTCCAACCACATAACTTGCTCAGTGAGCTAGTGATTTAGTGTCATTAGTTTGGTATTTTGTTTTATTTGGCAAGTCTATCTATATAGCTAACAGGAGATGTTGATTAATACATAAAGACCCTTTGTATGGTTAACAAAACTAGAGCCACATTAACTTCTAGCTTCAGAGGTAATTTCTGTCTGCCCATAGAAGATTATAAAGGCCCCGAGGTTAAAATTTCCTTTTATGTGTCAGAAATATCTTGTGTTCTTTATTAGTTCTATTTAGATTAGGAACCAAAAACCATGTGATTGACCTGTACTAGATTTTCCCTACAGTACTTATATCTGTAAGGTATCCTCTTTCTCAGGGAGCCCATGTTTATTAAGGCTCCTGACCTGCCCGAACTCACAGACTTTACAACCTTAAGGCTGGAGAGTCCTAAGCTGTAGAGCAGATACCACACACATTATCCTGGGAGGCCTGTTAGACTCAGTTCTATGTGAAAGGTAGTCCTTATTCCTCAATAGTGGGATTGTCACACCTAAATAAATGAAACTTTTTTTAATATATTTTTTTTATTGATTTCAGAAAGGAAGAGAGAGAGAGATAGAAGCATCGATGATGAGAGAGAATCATTATCAGCTGCCTCCTGCACAGCCCCGACTGGGGATCGAGCCTGCAACCTGAGCATTTGCTCTTGACTGGAATCGAACCTGGGACCCTTCAGTCCACAGGCCAACACTTTATCCACTGAGCCAAACCAGCTAGGGCAGTAAATGAAACTTTTGATATCATATTTACCATTAATTATCTTTATAAGAGGGAGGTAAGATTTATCTGGTAAAGAGAATAGATTCTTATTGAACCTAAGTAAATAACTACACAGTCATTAAAAAAATAAAGGAATTTATTTGGCAAGTTAAGGATCACTGCATAATATTTAACCATTTTTTATCATTTCTTGTAGAACAAGTCCAACCAATAAATGTGTTGTTGTTTTTTCATAGAATTCTTATTTTTAAATTGGCCTGATGCTTTATTAATTTATAATCGACATTAAAAGTAGATATCATTTTTAAAGAATGTTTTATTCTGTTTTTAACCTGTTGAATTTAGGTTTGGCCATACATTAAAAAGAAAGAAATGAGGGTTTTTTAAATATCCATTAAAAATAGAACACTAACCATAATTAAATCAGTTTATTTAGCCTATTTAGTTGCAGTAATTAATTACTTATTGTTACTATTGGGCTAAGCCAGTGGTTCTCAACCTTGGCTGCACGTTAGAATCACCTGGGAATCTTTTTAAAATCCTGATTTCTGGGCCTCATCCTCCAGAAATTCTGTTTCTTTGTTACAAATGTTGTGGCCTCACCCCATAACAAAAAAGATTTTAAAAAGATTCCCAGGTGATTCTAATGTGCAGCCAAGGTTGAGAACCACTGGGCTACGCAGTCTGTTGCCATGTGTCTGCTCCTGGACTGAAACGATCCTGGAAATCCTGGCTCAGATACCTGGTTCGGTCTCAGCAGTGGTGTCTGTGGGGATGATATCAGTTACACCCATGAATTCATACCATGAAGACAGCGGTCAGAGTACCATCTGATAGCATCCTTTACTGAGGTCCTTGTGATATTTCTTAAGGAATACTCAATTCCTGATCTTTAGTTTGTAGCAGGAGCCTTTAGGCAAATATAAGAAAAAAGGAGCCCTGGTCAGTGTTGCTCAGTTGGTTGGAGTTTAATCGTATGTACTCAGTGGTCTCAGGTTCCATTCCCGGTCAGGACACACACCCAGGTTGTGAGTGCGATCCCCAGTTGAGGCATGTACAGGAAGCAGTCGATAGATGTTTCTCTCCCTTTCCCTTCCTCTCTCTCTAAAATCAATAAAAACCTATTTAAAAAAAAAAAAAACAAAAAAACAAAAAAACAAAAAAAAGAACCACAAAGACCAATAGGGAAGCCAGACTCCAGCTACTGGCGGCAGCTCATAGGAACCCAATTTCTGACATCTGCCACCTGACAGAAGTGACTTAATGGTCAGATGGTAAAATTAAAACCCAGATTCAATCATAGCGGTCACCAGTGTGGACATAATCACTCGTTTCAATCGGAAACAGAAATAGACTCGGCCAACAACCAGATTTAGTGAGTAAAAGCCGAAGAGCTCAATCCATATGTGAGACTGGCCAGAGACACGGATTGAAGGGCCCTGTCTCGGGAAAGGTGCACTGTCGGCCAGCTAGTTTCTTTTGATTCTGACAGTAGACTTTCTTTTTTAAAATATATTTTTATTGCTTTTAGAGAGGAAGGGAGAGAGAGAGAAACATCACTGAGGTCCTTGTGATATTTCTTAAGGAATACTCAATTCCTGATCTTTAGTTTGTAGCAGGAGCCTTTAGGCAAATATAAGAAAAAAGGAGCCCTGGTCAGTGTTGCTCAGTTGGTTGGAGTTTAATCGTATGTACTCAGTGGTCTCAGGTTCCATTCCCGGTCAGGACACACACCCAGGTTGTGAGTGCGATCCCCAGTTGAGGCATGTACAGGAAGCAGTCGATAGATGTTTCTCTCCCTTTCCCTTCCTCTCTCTCTAAAATCAATAAAAACCTATTTAAAAAAACAAAAAAACAAAAAAAAGAACCACAAAGACCAATAGGGAAGCCAGACTCCAGCTACTGGCGGCAGCTCATAGGAACCCAATTTCTGACATCTGCCACCTGACAGAAGTGACTTAATGGTCAGATGGTAAAATTAAAACCCAGATTCAATTATAGCGGTCACCAGTGTGGACATAATCACTCTTTTCAATCGGAAACAGAAATAGACTCGGCCAACAACCAAATTTAGTGAGCAAAAGCCGAAGAGCTCAATCCATATGTGAGACTGGCCAGCTAGTTTCTTTTGATTCTGACAGTAGACTTTCTTTTTTAAAATATATTTTTATTGCTTTTAGAGAGAAATGGAGAGAGAAAGAAACACCAGTGATGAGAGAGAATCATTAATTGGCTGCCTCCTGCACGCTCCACATTGGGGATTAAGCCTGAAACCCGGGCATGTCCCCTGACTGGGAATCAAACCAGCGACGTCCTGGTTCATAGGTTGACGCTCAACCACTGAGCCATGCCAGCCGGGCCTGACAGTGGACCTTTATTCCAGTGCAACCTCCAGGAATAGCTGGACTTATTTACAAAGAGAAAAAGTTTACTTGCTAAAAGTACCAGTGAATCAGTTCAGCTGGGTCACCAAGTACAAAACAACAGGAGCAAAGCCAAGGTTGTCACGTTTACATTTGTCTGCTCGTGGTGGAGAGACAGCAGCTTTCATTTGCGATGATCGTCTCCTGGAAGGGCATGGCATGCCTTTTAGCATCAGCACAGCAAAAAAGCAGAGATTAAAATGTTTTGGGGGAATCTGGGTTTATGGGAAGTAGTTAACATTTCATTATCTGGGGGACCAGAACCAGTCAGGATGATCTGGTGTTTTTTGTTTGTTTTTTATTGTTGTTGTTTGGTTTAAGTGCAAAATGTTTTTTTGGGTTGGGGGGGGGTGTTAATCATGTTATATGAAGTGCTTGATCATATTGCAAGTAGGGCAGAGTGTCAGTTTTTATTCTATTCTCTGCTCCTGAGCCTGACCTTAAATCCTTTAAAATTCACTTTCTCTCACACAGTAGTACTTATATGTCCACTGAGCTCAAAGGAAGGACTTTTTTTTAATGGAGAAATGAGTTTAAAAGTGTATGGTTTATCAACCTGAAACTAGTATATTACGTATTCTGACCTGAAGTGTCAGGAAACAACGGGCTGCTGATATTCAGAGTGAGCTGGATATTAAAACATGGCGTTCAGGCTGTTACCTGCTGCCTAACTCCAGCAGCTTCACATATCCTGTGTTGACTTGGCATTCTAAGAGAATTAAAGTTTCAAGCAGCTTTGTAAAATTGCCACCGTGATCACATCTCTTCTAGATGCTGAGACATGTTTAGAAACTATAACTGCTATTTAAAATGTAAACTTCTGCCCTAGCTGGTTTGGCTCAGTGGATAGAGCATCCACCTGTGGACTGAAGGGTCCCAGGTTCGATTCTGGTCAAGGGCACATGCCAGGGTTGCAGGCTCGGTCCCTAGTGTGGGGCGTGCAGGAGGCAGACAATCGATGATTCTCTCTCATCATTGATTTTTCTCTCTCTCTCTCCCTCTCCCTTCCTCTCTGAAATCAATAAAATTTTATTTAAAAAAATAAAAATAAAATGTAAATTCCCCTCCAAAGCATTACATATTTAAATGTCATGATATTTATAACTGTGGGCGCTGCATACATTTATTTTGAGGTAGGAATTCTTTGGGATCTTAGCAGAAAGTCACTTCATACTCCCTCAACTGCTGCATTACCCACTCTGACTTCAGTTATCCCTCTTTACACAGGATGTACCATAAAGTATAAGCAGTTACTGTGCCTTGAGAAAGACCCTGTGTGGACAGTCGTGTTTATCTGTAGTGTTGATGTGCTGGTCTCTAAATTTGATTTCAGTCCAAAAGAATATCCGCTAAGGATGCCTTAGCCCACCCCTACCTAGATGAAGGGCGACTACGATATCACACGTGTATGTGTAAATGTTGCTTTTCCACCTCTACTGGAAGAGTTTATACCAGTGACTTTGAGCCTGTCACCAACCCCAAATTTGATGACACTTTTGAGAAGAACCTCAGTTCTGTTCGACAGGTTAAAGGTGAGTACCTTTTTTGGCCTTCGGCCTGGCAGGATCACTAGTAACGTTTTTCATTGCGTGGCCCGAAGAGCTGAGATCTCATAGGTTTATTTTACAGCCTCGCGTACAACTCTATTCAAGTCATGTACCATGAATGCTATGTATGTTATAAAAACGCTCAGTTAGTACTACATCCAGGAGAAGGACAGGCAGAGGAGTAAATATTTTGTTCTTGTTTTCAAAACTAACTTACTTGATGAGTGTGACTCAATATATTTAATATGTATTCATTGAGTGTAATTAATTGAATGGAACATATTGGATGTATAACATGCAAAGTTTTAAAAAAGGTAAACATCCACTGAGGGATCATTCCATGGATGATGACAAGAGAAGGAAATTTCTGCTAGTCGACTTGTAAAATTTCCTGACACCACCTCCTTTTGGGATGGGGTGGGAGGTTATGACATCCAAAATTCTGAATGATTTGAGTGTCTGCTATAGCGCATTTTAGAAGAGAGAGCAGTTCCCAAAGAAACCAGCCCCAAACTGTATCTAATCATCAAGGTATTTTAAGTGATTTTCAATAAGATGGTAATTACCAGCAATTTAGAAGAGTTCACTCATATTGCCAAACCCTGTGGTGTCAACTCTCAAATTTATAGACCATTTTACTCCTCCCACGGATGGGATTTTCGCCCTGAGTGAGGCGCTTTGGGGGGTTTTGCCTGTGTTTAGCAGCACCTGTCATTTGGTTTCAGGAAAGTTCTGCTGGAGTCTGCCTGACAAATGATGTGTGTCTGATTTAACTAAACCAGCAGGAAATGCTGCTCTGACGCTGGCTAGCGTTAGCGGAGAACCCGCCGCTCCCAGACCTGCAAATTGGCATGCCTGTGTGTTTGTTTTCTCCACAGAAATTATTCACCAGTTCATTCTGGAACAGCAGAAAGGAAACAGAGTGCCTCTCTGCATCAACCCTCAGTCTGCTGCTTTTAAGAGCTTTATTAGGTAACTATGTGAACATAATTCTAACTTTCTTGTTAGGATTAGGAGGCCGTTGTGATTTTGTTATTCAGCATATTTCTGTTTTTATTTTGATTCAGTAACATAGATAAAAGGTCCAACAGAAAGTTTCTGTTATGAACTTTGGCTTTAGTCAAAAGCATATTAAAATGTTAGCATTAGTTTTTACACTGATGCCAATTCACTGTGGTCGCTTTGGTAGTTTTTCCCCCAAATGACCATTGTGCTGCCTGGTCATGTACATGGGGATCTCCTGCAGCAACAGTGTGGTGGCCATTGTCCTGGAGTTAGACATGGTCACCGGGATTCCCACTGCCATCCCCAGCACCTTCGGAATAAGTGCAGCAAGAACATTTATTTTTATAGATGCACTGCGGGTGTGTCCAGTAGGCTTGTTGGTTCAAGAGCTAGAAACCTGCTTTGGAACCTAGAAGCCCCATTCTCTTTGTCCTTGCCTTCTCAGTCTCTCTTTCCCTGACTGCTTGTACCAGTGAAGGCCCAGACATGAGAAAGAAACCACACCCCATAAAATTTAATAACAGAAGCATTAACTAGGGAAAGAGTGAACAAGGAAGAAATTAAGACCTTAGAGGAGGTCCCTTCACCCAAAGCTAATAAGATTTGGAGGTGATATGGCTGCCACAGAGACACACCCATGAGGGTGGTGAAGAAACTTTCCAAACGTGGGGGCAGAACTCATCCATCAAAGAGGCCTGTTGGGCTGCAGAGCAACTTGCCGGAATGTTCGGGTAGACCACAGCTGGGCCTTTCATATTAAAATAAAGAAGTAAAACAAAATAAAAAGGCACACCGGACCGGACCGGGAAGGGCAGCTGCTTCCTAATGCTATGGCCGGGCGATGCCTCTCCAGCACCCTCTGTCGACAAAGGCTAGCATCCAGCAGGTGGCCGAGGAGAAATGTGAACAGCATCTGGCTCCTGTATCACAAAGGAGCACAAAGAAGGGGGGGCGGTTTGGATCTGAGAGGCCACACTCTATCTCCTTTCTTCCCCACCTGCCTTTCTCCCTCTTCTTTTTCCCTCTTCTCTCTGATTCTCTTTCCCTTCCCCTCATTTCTGTTTTAATTGGTCTTAACATGGTATTGAAGTTGGTTTAATTTATTGAATCAAAGTCAAGATTTTTTTGTTTAGAATTATTCCATGTATATGTTGTTAGAAAGAAAGAATTAAGTTGCATTTTTACTTCTCTGTTGTTTAAAATTACTTTGTTTTAGTTTTTTCCCCCTAACAGTCAGTGTCCCAGTACCTTTCCAGGTGCAAGTTATTCATTATTCTGGGCCCCAGAGAAGCAAAGTGCTTACACACAATCCCTAGATTATGTTTATAATCTGGTTGGCAGCATTAGACAGACATATGAAATAACTGATAAAACAAATCAATGGATAACAAATGCTAAATGATTATCCATTACTACTCAGTTAATACTTGATAAAGAAAGCTTATGAGGCTCATTCAAAGTAGGTCCTCACTTCGATGGATGTGTCTCTCTCACTTACATGTTTCTCTCTGTTTCTCCCCCTCCCTCTCACTCCCTTTAAAAATCAATGGGGAAAAAATATCCTCAGAACAACAAAATATCCTAAGAACAACAACAAAAAAAGCCCTATCCAGTTGCTAAGTGGTTAGAGCGTCAGCCCATGGACTGAAGGGTCATGGGTTTGATTCTGGTCAAGGGCATGTGCCTCAGTTGCAGGCTCCATCCAGTTCAGGGTGTGTCCCAGAGGCAACCAATCAATGTGTCTCTCTCACATTGATGTTTCTCTCTCTGTTTCTTCCCCTCCCTTCCACTCTCCAAAAATCAATGTTAATACTCGGGTGAGGATTAACAACAACAACAAAAAACAGGTTCCCACTTAAAGTCACTGTATTTTGAGAGGTTACTTTCAAATGGATAATTCTGCATCGTTTAAGGTTATTTTTCTAATTGATTATAAGCATTACTATTTATAATAACTACCATTTACTTTATATTATGAAGTAGGCACTGTGGAAAGCACTTTACATACATTATCTCATTTATTCATCACAATAGCATTCCCTGCCCTAGCTGGTTTGGCTCAGTGGATACAGCTTCGGCCCACAGACTGAAGGGTCCCGGGTTTGATTCTGGTCAAGGTGTGTACCTTGGTTGCAGGCTCAATCCCCGGCTCTGGTTGGGGTGAATGCAGGAAGCAACCAATTGATGTGTCTCTCTCACTTCAATGTTTCTCTCTGTGTGTCTCTTCCCCCTCCCTTTATCTAAATGATCCTCGGGTGAGGATTAACAATAAAAAAAACAATAGCATTATCCCTCTCCAAGAGGAAAGATGAAGGAATCTGCTCTGTGTCACACAACTAGTAAATGACATTGTTTCCAAGGCCATGTATTAGCCACTGTACCATATTGCCTCACTAAACATAGATCCTTAAGCAAACAATGTGGAACAGATGCAATTTACAGAAGTTAAAAGAAACCAATCAAAATCCACAGCTGGACTTTACAGGTTTTTTTTTAAAGGCAGGGAAGAAAACAGGCAACAGTGAATTCCCCTTTGCCCTTTGTGGTGTTACAAGTGTTTTCACCATGTCTCCTTTTTTTTCTAGTTCCACTGTTGCCCAGCCATCTGAGATGCCCCCATCTCCTCTGGTGTGGGAGTGACGGTGGAAGATAATGTACTACTGAAGATGTAATGTAGCTTTCCACTGGAGTCTGGGATTTGCAATTCTGGAGGTTAATCATGCTTGTACTGTAATTTTACTAATGAAGTTTTAAATTAACAACCACTACTTGTATGATATGAATAATATTTAGAAATGTTACTAGACTTTTAATCTTGTAAAGTGGTTGTGCTTTTAGAAGAAAAATATTTTACCCAGAGTTGCACATGTTTTATGAATTTAGTGCAGCTGTTATGGCTCACCTCAGAACAAATGAGAATTGAACCAAATTTGGAAGTTTGGGGTTTTGTGTTTTTGTTTTGTTTTGTTTTTCTTTTTTTAAAATGAAGTGGGATTGTTCACACACACACACACACACAGGACAGTCATACATTTTGATATTTGAGCCATTCCTGAAAATTAAGGGTTTTCTAAAATGAAAGAATCTAGAAACCTTGCCTGTGACCAATCATGGAGCCACGTGAGCTGATCGTGGCCGCACCTGGGGGGAGGGGGGTGGGGCATGCCACCTAATGATCAAGCCCTATAATTAGCTTCTCATTAGAGCCGTGACGGTGATGTGTGCTGTCTAAAATCCAATGTTGTGGGTAGAAAGAATGAGTTTGTGACTAGGAGAGACTAAACTTCTGTTTTCCTTACCCAGTATAAATATATATATATATATTTAATCTATTTTTATTAGAAGTTTTTCTGCTCTTTCTTACATAAAAGAACCCCCAAGCATGCATCTTTCATGTGTGTAAATAATTCATTTCTGGGCTAATTTCAAAAGAATTCCAACATTGCTGTATAGAGAGAGAACTAGCTTGCACATTTTAGGTCTGTGAAATTTTGTGAGACTTTTCCTGCACTGGACAATAAAAAAAGATAAAAATAAAAGACAAAAACAAATTTTAAAGAAATTTAAAGCCACAAAAAAAAAAAAAGGCACATAGGGAATTATGTCAAATGTGTTTGTGTCCTTAGGCAAAGCTGTGGGAGTCTTGAAATGTCACAGTAGTAAATAACTTATTACTTTTTGACAAATTCTTTTTTCTGTTGGAACACTGAATTCTTCTGTGCATATGTATATATGAATACAAATTGAAGGCCTCTACCTCCTGGAGTTATACAACTTGGCTTGTTTACCTCCACATGCTGATGATGACTATTTTTTTTTTTTTAAGTTCAATGTGGAGACTTGAAACTTGAATGTCCCTTCCAACTTTTATATTAAAAATAAAAAGAGAAGAAAACTGAAGATCATTTTTCACCTGTACAAGGAATATTAATGGATCGTCTTAAAATTGGTCTAGGAAAAAACCTTGGTGTGTGTTATGGACAATTAACTGTTAAAGTTATTGTAAGTTATCTGTATTTAGCAGAGTATTTTCATCTTGAGTGATCTGAGCTGAATTTGAAGACTATTAATAAGTTATGTTTGGAAGTTTTAACTTCAATGAAGTAATTATTTGCTGTGAAAGAAACAAACATTGAATTACTAAACAAAGATGGTGCAATATCTTTGTTTCTTTTTTTTATGAGGCTCCTGAGAATCAACCCAACTGAAGCATTTCAATTCACTTGAATGAGAAACGTGTTTAGTATCAAAAGAGCCCAAGAAGACACTGGTGTGAAAGGTACAATCTCAGAGGTTGGTCAATTACCGTGGCACACTTACTGGTCACTTTGTACAATGTAGATTTGAAGTACAGTGGTGAAAACATTAAATGTGACATTTGAAAAAATGTGTCATCTGTTTATTTCAGTTCCTCTTTTTTGTTTTCTCTTCAGTACAGCTTACTGAATTTGCAAAGTTTTGAGACATTTCCTACTTATATTTCCACTTAGATCTTTGAGGAAATTAGATGTGCTTTTTAAAAACCTTCCCAGAAGCATTAGCTTGCCAAAACCATATTGAAAATTTAACCAATATCAAAGACATTGTGATTTAAATATATACAACTTGAGCCTGGCCTGTGTGGCTCAGGGTTTGAGCGTCAACCTTGTACAATGACTCATTTCAAAGCATTATGAATTGCATGTATAATACTTTGAGGTCACGGTTCGATACCCAATCAGGGCACATGCCCAGGTTATGGGCTCGATCCTGTACAATGACTCATTTCAAAGCATTATGAATTGCATGAGGTCACGGTTCGATACCCGATCAGGGCACATGCCCAGGTTATGGGCTCGATCCCCAGTGTGGGGTGTGCAGGAGGCAGCCAATCAATTATTCTCTCTCATCATTGATATTTCTATCTCTCTATCCCCCTCCGATCCCCTCTGAAATCAATAAAAATATACTTTAAATATAAATAAATATACAACTTTAAAATCTTTCCACACCTTTAGAGTATAATCCAGTGGATTTTAAACTTTTTTTTCTAAACAAGGAATCCTATTTTCATGTGAAACCAAATTCTTTCTAAACAAGGAATCCTATTTTCATGTGAAACCAAACTCCAGTATCTATATATATAAAAGCCTAATATGCAGATTGTCCCCTTGGGAGTTCAGTCACGCACCATGACATGCACTGACCACCAGGGGGCGGCGCAGAGGGAAGGGAGGCCCCTGTCAGCAGCCGGAAGGCCCCGATCAGCCCTGATCACTGGCCAGGCCTAGGGGACCTTACCCGTGCACAAATTTTGTGCACCAGGCCTCTAGTATTAAATAAAAGGGGAGTGCTCAGAATGAAGGGGACTGCTGCGGGAATTTGATTTCCTCCCTCTTGCTTCCTGCTTCCTGCTTCCTGCTCCTGGCAGCCCAAAGATACTTCCAGCTTAGGAAGAGGTCCCACCTGGGTGGTGGTGTAATTAAAACCTGACACCAGACCGCCTAACTTCAGAATACTTTCCTGCGGCTAGATGAAGCAACATCACTTGTAGGTTTGTAGATAGCAAGTACTTCTGTCTTTTCTTGGTTTAGCAAAATGAATGGATTTTTTTTTTCTGACATAAAATGAGTCAATTGTTCTAACTCATCTAAATACAAGTACACGTTTTTATTCATTCAACAAACTTTTGAATACCTACTAAGTGCTTCCAGAAAACTAGTTTTCATCACTTACAAGAAAGCATTATGAATTGCATGTATAACACTTTGAAACTAAAGTTATTCAGAGATAAAAGAGAAGATATACTGACCTGTTTCCACTGGAACCTGCTCAACTAACCAAAGAATCTGTGCCTTATTTAATTAAAATTGTTGATAATTGCAAAAATGTGGAATTTCTAAAGCCAGTGGAGTCAGTGTGGACAGATAAATTGGGGCTCTACCAGCTGCACTTTCTGTGTAGTTTAATAATCCAGAAGATGAAGATAATCTCTTGTGATGGTTCATAAAGTTTAGAATTTTCATTTTGTTTTTCCTATGATATCTCATTTAAATAGTTTATATTAAAGTAAAAATCAAGGAATAAAATGCAAGGCCCTGGCCAAGTAGCTTAGTAAGCGTCATCTCAATACACCACGGTTTCAAGTTCAATCCCTAATCAGGACACATACAAGAATCAACCAAAGAATGTATAGATGAGACAACAAATTGATGTTTCTCTCTCCCCACACACCCTGAAATCAGTAAATTAAAAAAAAAAAAAAAATAGAGCCCAGGCTGGGTGGTTCAGTTGGTTGGAGCATCTTCTTGTTCACCAAAAGGTTTTGGGTTCAGTCCCTGGTCAGGGTGTGTACAGGAGGCAACCCATTGGTATTTCTCTCTCTCTCTCTCTCTGAAATTTGCATGAATTTTTAAGTTAAGGTAGCTGCTGGGGGGCTGTTTCCTACTGTGCTCTAGTAACATCCAGACATCATGTTAGTAGATGGATACTTTTAGAGTCTTCTTTGCAGTATTTGACTCTCTACCTTTCTTTTTTATTTTTTTAATCCTCAGCTGAGGATATTTTTTACATTGACTTTTAGAAAGAGTGGAAGAGGGAGGGAGGGGGAGAGAGAAAGAGAAACATTGATGTGAGAGACACATCGATTGGATGCCTCCCGCAAGCGCCCCAACTGGGGCCTGGGATGGAACCTGCAACCCAGGTACATGCTCTTGACCTGGAAAAGAACCCAAAAACCCTTGGGTGCACAGGCGACGCTCTAACCACTAAGCACACTGGCCAGGGCTCCACCTCCTTTCTTAAGCAGTCTTTCCTTGGCTTCTGTAACACACTGTTTTTCTCCTCTTGGGGGCCACAACGCTCCCTTACAGGCTTCTTCTGCTTAATCGTCACATGTCTTCCCTGGGCTAGGATCAACCCTGGGTTCTCTTCCTACTCCAAAGCCAAGGGTTCTTGACTTTGCTACTCGGTAGAATCACCTGGAGAAGTTTCAGAAATCCAGTGCCTGGGCTGCACCCCGAACCAAATTAGGTCAGACTCGAGGCAGGGTCAGGCATCAGTCTGTGTTAGTTTTGTTTTGTGCAGCCAGGCTTGAGATCCACTTCGTCCCCATCCCCATTCCTCGTGGTGTCCTTTTCCGCCTCCCGTCAATCATCATCCTGCTTCACAAAAGGACATGCTTCTCACACATCTTACATGTTACTGTTGTGCAACGTCCCTGCCTACAAAAACTTTCTGGTTGCCAAGTAAACGGACAATTGGAAATGGTTTTTGTTTATGAAGACCTCACCTCTTTCATCTCAGTGTCAAATAATGCATTGATCCCGAGAGAGAACCCTTTGACCGTAAAGCAAGGAGCATTAGGAGGATATATTGAGACTGGCAGTATTTTATTTCACTCAGGAAACAAATTCATGGCACAGCTCTGACTGTATTAAGATTCAAAAGATGTGTGTGGGTTTTGGTTTTTTTTAAAGGAAACATGTAAGAATGAAGACTTTTCAACAGAAGATAAATCAGTTTGACTGCTTGATTTGCCAATGAAGATTTTCTGATTAGTTTATATGGTAGTCATTTTTCCATAATTAGAATTAGGTGGAATCTGCAGCTACATAGTTCTGATAAAAGCATGTTTAAAGCGAAATATTTTAAAATTATCAAAAAGTTATTGACGAAAATGAGAAATTAGGACCTTTGTGCATTGCTAATGGCATGTAAAATGGTGCTTCGCTTTGGAAAAGTACGGTGGTTCCTCAAAAAGATTAGAATTACCTTTTGACCCAGTAATTTCATTTCCGGATCTATACATAAAAGAATTGAAAGCAAGGACTCAAAACAGATGTTTGTGCACCAATGTTCATAGCAGCATTATTCACAGTAACCAAAAGATGGAAACAACCCAAATGTCCATTGATGGGTGAATAGATAAACAAAATGTATATACATACAATGGATTGTTATTCTGGCTTAAAAAGGAAGGAAATGCTGGTAAATGATACATGGATGAAACTTAAAATAAGGCAGACACAAAAAGCAAATCTTGTATGATTCTACTTATATGAGGTACCTAAAATAGCCAAATTCATAGGTAGAAAGTAATGAATAGTATAATAGTGGTTTCCAGGGGGTGGGGACTGGGGTGGAGTGTTTATGAGTACAGAATTTCAGTTGGGAAAGATGAAAATTTTTTTGGAGATGGATGGTGGTAATGGGGCCCAACAATGTAAATGTACTTAATGCCCCTAAACTATACACTTAAAATGGTAAATTTATTTAT